TGGTCCTGCCTTGAGGGTGGGGGGCTGAACTCGATGACCTCTCGAGGTCCCTTCCAGTCCTATGATTCTATGATTCTATGATTCTATGAATATCATGATGTAAATAATACTAAATAATAATTGCCAAATGAGACCACTTCCCAACCTGCTTACCAAGGGCCTCATACAATTTAAATTATAAGATAGGATAATCTGTTGATATGACCCAAAAAGATCCAGATAACATTTAGACACCCTTCAAACATATAAGGGACCAATCATAAAAGCCCCACTGCCTGGTAGAGGCAATCTTTGAAGAAAATTGGAGAGACTTTGAATTTACTTTTTCTGACAGCAGTGCTTTCTCTCACTGAATGTGGGGTCTTCAGCACAGGTTTCACTTGATGTGTCAGAATAACTAAGAAATGTGTTGTCACAGCTAACTCTATTCAGGTCAAAGCAACGTGCACCCCAAAGACAGAAGAACAAATCACTCTAAACTGGAAGTCAAAACATCTCACCTCTTCACAGAGCTCATGAAGAATCTTGTTCACCCAGAGACACAAGTCATGACAACGCTCTCTGAAGAGAGACAAAACATCCCATCTCTCTGTGGACATACCAAGGCTGTGTTTACACTGGCATGATTTTGCGCAAATACTTTTAACGGAAAAGTTTTTTGGTTAAAAGTATTTGCGCTAGAGAGCGTCTACACTGGCATGTCCTTTTGCACAAAAGCATCCGTGCCAGTGTAGATGCTCTCTTGCGCAAGAAAGCTCTGATGGGCATTTTAGCCATCGGGATTTCTTGTGCAAGAAAATAATGTTGCCTGTCTACACTGCGCAAGAATACTTGCATAAGAGGGCTTATCCCTGAGCAGGAGCGTCAGAGCATTTGCACAGAAAGCACTGATTTTGTACATTAGAACGTCAGTGTTCTTGCGCAAATACCCGCAGCCAGTGTAGACAGGCAGCAAGATTTTGCGCAAAATCTTCCAATGTAGGCACAGCCCAAGTGTTTTCATGTGGCATCTTACCATGCTGCTTAAATCAACTGCTTGGATGAAGAAGACTCACAAGGAGTCTGTCCATCATCCACACTGGAGCAACATGGTGATTTCACCTCAGTGGCAACAGACCTGATCCCTCTTTGGGCTCTTGTGGAGCAACAGGGAGCCTGCAGCGGTCTCTTGGGGAGAGAGGCCAGGGGGTGCCTCTATTCCAGTGGTTCTCAAGCTTTTTGGCCCATGGACCACGTCTCAATGTAAACCTTTCCGCAGCCTGCCAGTTGCTAATGGAAACTCACCTTTGATTACATAATTACCCCCAAACCATTTTGTTAGTGCTACAGCTGAGGAGAATGGTTTAATTTAAATTATTAAACAGATTAAACTAACATGAGAAAGTTAAAATGCTTATCAAACTTCATTTTAAATAAAGTAAAATATTATGTCCAACACAAAAGGTTTAAATGTTTTCTTTATTTATAGCAGGGGTGGGAAATCTTTTTTAGGTTGGGGGTCCCTGACCTACATAAAAATCGGTTGGGGACCACACAAGTAAAGAGTAAAAGAACTCCTCCAAAACCCCTAACCCTCACTGGTGTGGCTTCCAACTGAGATACCTCACTTTAGCCTCCACTGGGTGAGGGGAAAGAACAGGGAGGACTGAGGTTCAGGGCTTTCCATAGGCCAGATTTATTTTTCTGGGGTTCCAGAGTTAGTGGATTTTGTGGACCCCTTAATCTCTGGGGTGGGAACAAACAGGTGAAGGGCGGAAGGGGGCAAAGTTGTGAGGCTGGGTGGTAGGTAGGATGCAGAAGCAGGCTGGATGTAGGATGTCTGGCCAGAGGGAGGGGGCAGGAGCAGATTGGGGGTAGGGTGTCTGGCTAGGATGGAGGGTGCAAGGAGGGGACTTGGGTAGGAGTTGGACCTCCCTGATCTGGCACCCTCTGGACCTGAATGGTCCCAGATGAGGGATTTTTTGGACCAGGGGAGGTCATTTCAGGGCTCCTGGTGCTGCTCCCTTCCCACTAGGATTCTTTGCGCCTCCATCCCCTGCAACCCAGCTGAGCTGTCCACCCCTGCTGGTTCCCTGCACCTCCCCCCAAACCATCTCTCACACTCCAAGGGAGTGCAGCCCACCAGTTCCCTGCAGCCCCTCCCAGCCCAGCTGAGCTGCCTGTCTGTTCCCTATGCCTTCCCCCATCCACCTCAGCCCAGTTGAGCCCCGCACTGGTTCCCTGCACGCCTCCCCCACAGCACAGCTGAGCCCTGTTTCCCTGCACCTCCTCCAAGCCCCGCAGAACTGCTGAGCCCAAGGCTGATTTCCTGCCCCTCCCTCCCTCTCTCCGTCCCCTTGAGTCCAGCCCCGGGTTTCCAGCACCTTCCTCCTCCTGCAGCCCAGCTGAGCCCAGCACCCCACACCTCCCCACTCCCGCAGCTCAGCACCCCACACCTCTTCATTCCTGCAGCCCAGCCAGGTGCCCCCCTAGCATGGCGCCTGGGGGCAACTGCCCCCTCCTGTTCCTCCCTCGCTATGCCTCTGCCAGAAGCCATCCCCTTTTCAAGTGAATCTCAATCACTAGCTCTGAACGACCCACCTCACATTCAGAGGGGTAGCCATGTTAGCCTGTAGGCCTGTCAGCGCCCGGCTAGTCCTGTGGCCTACTGTAGTGCAGTGCTGCCTTCTAGATCGCTATAGCCAGAGTCTCTTTTAATAGAGCTCCAGTCAATCATTGTTCCCCACCTGGTAAGTCATTCAGTTAGCCCAAAACTAGTCCCTCAGTGTCAATCGAGGCTGTAATGCATGGAACATATCCCTTGGAGCACGTGCTGAGTGAATTAGCAATGCCCTTCCCCTGGGCTAGGCCTCCTGGAGCTCTACAACCCCTGGGTTCACACAGAGATCAAGAGTCTGAGGCGAAGGGACTGGCCCCAGTCAGACAGTGCGAGAATGCAAGAGCCCATTCAAATCACTAACAGACTGTACTGAGTCAGACCCTTTCCAGACCAGTTCTCAAGGGGGGAACACAATCCACAGTGGGGCCTATGGGCCGACAGCAATGGGAGTAACAGTGATCATCATACATCGGTGCAAAGCAAGTGCACAACACTGCCCCGTGAGAAGCCACGTTCACTTTGCACAGCTGAGAATGAGATCCCAGAGAATCCAGCCCTATAACAGCCGCAGTTCCAATTTACGGTGCCCTCGTCTTCACTGTGGAAGGAGAAGTCTCCTGTGGTCTCTTGAGTGGAGCAGTCCAACTTGGTGTGGACTCACAACTGCTTTGGCAGGAGCTCCCATCAGACTGGTGCAATGCTAAGGGAAGCTGATTTTTTGTGTAGCATCTGGCTCACCTGCGTTTGCAGCCACGACTGGGTCAGTACAAGTGTCTCCTGCACCTCTCCAGCTGGCACATCTGGCAGAAACTCCTGGGGCCATTACAAAGTCATCTGGGCAACTCCCTTTAAACTTCATTCTCTGGGTTGCTGCTGAAACAAAGGGCAGGAAGAACAACCAGGAAAGGGGAATGTAAGTTGTTTGGAAAGCCTCAAAGAGGCCAAGGAACATCCAGAGCTTAGCACTGTGTTCGCTTACTGTGATGCTATATCCAGCACAGTGCACCCAGACCTCCTCATCCCCAGTTTCCTTCGGTACCACAGGAATCAGCCCAACAGAAAAGCAGCCTTGGACTGATCCAGCCTGGCTTTGGCTGATTTGAATGGATCTATTCGTGCTCTTTCAGTGTTGTGTCATGTGCGTTTGTTCTTTGGTCATCTTATGCCCCCCACCCCCAAAGCTTTACAGCATATGGGGAAAGAAGCGCTCCTGGACTATCTGTTTAGATCTGGGCTTATTTTCAGCTGAGCTGGGATCAGATCCACGCCCTGTGTGCTTTGAGTCTAAAAAACCTTGACTGAGGCTACCTAGCTTGCTATGCTTCTGGAGCAGCAGAAAAGGTCAGAGAGAGACTTCTGAAATAAAAATGTCTCCATCTCAGCTGAGAAAAAGCACAGATGGGTGAGCAAAGTTTAGAAAAGGGAAAGAATTGAGCAAGCAAGCAATACTGTGAGAGGCTGATAAGAGAAGCTCTAACAGGAGAATAGGGGAGCCTTGTCTATCTCCCTATTAAAGGCTATTCTTACAAGGTTTTTTTTTTTTTTCCTTTTCATTAATACGCAGGGTGAATAGAACATTGAATAAAAATCAGTACTTACTGCACAATTGTAGGATTGAAAGGTAACTGTCAACAGAAGGATTGGGGTGACAAAAGGGGCCATTTCAGTGCTTAGCAAATGATTTTCGGCTTGTCATTTCAATAGGCCGTGTTTTTCAGAGATTGTGTTTTTTTGAATAGCGTTTATTACCATGCTTTTTAAAAATTTCATGTTGTCTCTTTGCAGGCACCATTCATTTGCAGATGCAGTATTCCTTTTTGGTTGTCAGAGGGATACTGCTTTAGAAAAATAAAGTACACTCGTCCGATTAGAAAAGGGATTCTCTTGTGAAGCTAATGGCCAAAAGGGAAACCATTTGGGGCAGCTCCCACCTTCGTGCCAGGCTGACCCAGTTTCTCCCACTGTTCTTTATTCATTATCACAGGGACCAACAGTTCCCTCACTTTCCAAATCCTGGTGTGATTTTGAGTTAGATAAACTTTTTGTTAACATAAAGATCATTGTCCTGATAGCATGAAATTTGCAACACAAGATGCTCAACCCAAATATCAAATAGAACCTCTTGTGTGTAGGAAAGAGACAGGAGATATATTCTGCAGTCTTCACTCAGGAAAACCCAACTGACCTCTGGGGGAGGGGAAGGTGCCTGCAGGAATGAACTTTTCCTATGGGGGGGGGAGGGTATTAACAGAGTGTGTGTTGCCCACACAAGTGGATGAGCAAAGTAACACAATTTTATAGTTATGTAGGCTAATGAAAATCTTTGAAAATCTGTTCTGGTTTAATGGATTTGTTGATGTTCATTGGTACATAATTGCTCAGCGTTTCAGTACTTGCAGGGGTGGTTAAAAGGCTTGCATTCGGTTTTCATCTCAATTCAGCAAAACTCTCTGTGCCTGGCACCCTGGGTTCCTAAGCAGAGAGTAATCTAGAATTAGTGAGAAATAGATTTCATGGCTATAAGTCACTTTATAGTGGGCAGGTCTTGAACTCTGATCCTTTGTAAATCGAACCACTTGTGAAAAAAAGAAAGGGCTTTAATCCTTTTAAACTGCCATCGCACATCACTAGCCAGGGCCCTGGAGAAGTGATTTAAATGGCATTGAATAAGGTCGTTCAAAACAGCCCGAAATCTGTTAAGAGGCTGGTGTCTACGAAGGGAATGGAAGCAGGGAAAAAAGTTAATTAAAAATATTGATGAGGTAAATCGAACCACTTGTGAAAAAAAGAAAGGGCTTTAATCCTTTTAAACTGCCATCGCACATCACTAGCCAGGGCCCTGGAGAAGTGATTTAAATGGCATTGAATAAGGTCGTTCAAAACAGCCCGAAATCTGTTAAGAGGCTGGTGTCTACGAAGGGAATGGAAGCAGGGAAAAAAGTTAATTAAAAATATTGATGAGTCTGCCACCGATGGCTCCATTGGCCAGCAAACCCACCAGCAGCAGCATGCCCAGCTTGGCCTGAGGCCCAGTACAGCTCCCTGTCACACCCCTGGCCATGCCCCCAGAGTGAGAGCTGTCCGTATTTGGAATATAACCTCCCACTGCTCCATTCCGAGACCTCTGAAGGGCTGAAGACCCACGACAAGAAATAGTCTGCGATTCACCGGGGAAGGTGGGTGCCTCCTAGCTTCCTGGGCAGCCGCTAGGAAAGATGGTGCTCATTCTGTGGGTTAGATTGCATACAAGTGTATGGGTTACAGCGGGGCGGCCAGTTTATGTCTTTCTTTCTGGTTTTGCTCCCCTTCCCCCGTACTTTCATAAGCCAGTATCTTGTTTATTTTAAATTCCTCCCCTACAGTCTCTAGCCTCCCCCAGCCTATTCTGCCTTGCCTTGCTAGTCTAGTCTGTAGAGATTCCTTTACTGTGCTTCCCATCTCGATATCTTCTCACACCCCGAAGGCTGCTCTCCCTAGCTGCTCATCTTGCTCTATGGATGGAAGTTGATATATATCTCTGCCTTGGTGCCCTCTTTTTATTCAGTGGACAGTTATAACCAGGATGCGTATGGTGGTCTGGATTGGTTTTTCTTCTTGCTCCGTTGCCAGATTTCTTCTTGCTCCGTTACCAGCTGCTGATGCTGCGCTCTCTGCATGCAGAGCTGCATTTGATTAGAAGTGAAGAGTGCCAAAGCTGTTTGGAAAAAATATAACCCCTCAGGGTCTTGGTTAATCTGAGCCAAAGAAAACGTGCTGGACTTTCTGTGTCTGGTCAGTTTCTCCTCACAGATCATTGGAATTAGGACTGCACATTAGTAAAATCAGGTGTAAATAGGAAAATGTCAGTAGGCTGCGTTCTGCCAGAAAGGAGCTTTCCTACATCTGTCTGCAGGACTCAGGGATTCCGGATGATGTGCAGACTTCAGAGCAACTGGGGAGCTCTAATGATGGTTTTAACTGTGTGTTTCAAGATGTTTTCCCTTGATTCTGCAGCATTTGGAGAGTTCAATTCGTCTGTCACCTTCTCCCGGGTGAGCTCAGCAATGGACAACCAAGCTACAGAAAACTACTTTCAAGATCATATTAAACCGAGGGGGGAAATACCCCTCACCAGGTTGGCCTGCTTTCAGGACTGGGTTCTACTGCAAGACCTGCCTCTCCTCTGGCTGCAACCTA